CAGAGGCTCGTGCTCGGGGGGGGGACCCCCAGCTGCCTCCCTGCTGGTTCTGATAGCCCCCCCCAGCCCGAATTTACACTAAACGCACACATATCACCAGTCCTTGCTTTAATTTGTCAGCAGGGACAGACGTGACTTCCACTTCGCTCCATGACATACCGTCAATTCCGGACTATAAGCCGCTACTTTTTTCCCCGCCGTTTGAACACTGCGGCCTATAATACAGTGCGGCTAATACATGTTTTTTTTCATGGCGCGAAAAACAGACCAATAAAATTGATGAGTATTCACAGAGGTCCAAAGAAATTGTGCGATACATAATTCTCGCTTTCACAGTTATTTACAGTATTGTAAATCAGTCATTTATACTCACCCTCAACATGGATACCTTTTTTTTGACAACCCGTTAGACAGGAAGTTTACGGTATCCTAGCAACGGGAGTCAGCTTGAGTTTGCCGGTGTTGTGCGAAAAAGTGACTTTTTGCGAGAATCTGATTAAGCTCGCGGGAGCGCGCAGGTGATTTTTGCCTAAAAAGGACTTTATCTATTTAAAATAGGATGCTTCTGAATGAAATCAAGTCATATTTTGGCAGATATCCCCTTTAAATGACAGTATTTTGGCTTTAATCAGTTTCTAGCAAGTCGGCTGGTCAAAACACCCTGCTAGAAATTGATTAAAGGCCAAATGTGGTTGGAGGAAGGTGATTTTTGCCTAAAAATGACTTGTTCTATTTAAAATAGAATGCTTATGAATGAAATCAAGTCATATTTGGGCAGATATCCCCTTTAAATTACAGTATTTGGGCTTTAATCAGTTTCTAGCAAGTCGGCTGAGGTCAAAACGCCCTGCTAGAAATTGATTAAAGGCCAAATGTGGTTGGAGAAAGGTGATTTTTGCCTAAAAAGGACTTTATCTATTTAAAATAGGATGCTTATGAATGAAATCAAGTCATATTTGGGCAGATATCCCCTTTAAATGAGAGTATTTGGGCTTTAATCAGTTTCTAGCAAGTCGGCTGAGGTCAAAACGCCCTGCTAGAAATTGATTAAAGGCCAAATGTGGTTGAAGAAAGGTGATTTTTGCCTAAAAAGGACTTGATCTATTTAAAATAAGATGCTTCTGAATGAAATCAAGTCATATTTGGGCAGATATCCCCTTTGAATGACAGCATTTGGGATTTAATACATTTTTTGCAAGTCAAAATGGCTATTTTGTGTTGTAATGGTCCTTTAAAAGAGTTCCAAGCTGTTTTGTGAGCTCATATCTTTAAATTATGCATCTCCTGAAGGAAATCTAGTCATATTTATGTAGTGAATAACCGTTGAGTGACTATACTGTGCCTTCAATAAATTTTTGACAGGTGAAAACCGATTGAAAACTGCAAAACAAATAGAAACATGGGAAACTCGTGCTATATACGGCCAGATCAGATAAAAAACAATGCAGAGTCACGAGGATCGTTGCAAAAGTTATCATATCTTTATTGAAAACCCTCCAGTGAATCATATTTATTGTAGTGTAGTCTCCAATGTCAGGGCTACACAAAGTCATCAGACCGAGTATAGAAACATGTCTGTCACGTAACTGCCGTTATGTGACAAACGTTAAGCTTTCGAATCTTTAATTAGGCCTATATTATAATTTAATTAGGCCTATATTATAATGCAACTGTGTGTATCTGCATGTCATGACCGTTTAATCCAGAGAAAAGCAGGTTTACGGTATCGCTCAGCGGGCTGCGGTGCGCGCTCCCGCGAGCTTAATCAGATTCTCGCAAAAAGTCACTTTTTCGCACAACACCGGTAGTAAAGATGGCTGCCTTCTTCTTCTACTCCTAATTTGTGACAGTTTGTTTCAATGTTTGTTCAAGCAACGTCTGTAAGTATTTATTTTTGCAATTGGACATATTTCTAGTAACTTTTACGGTAATTTATATGTTGATGTTAACAATGTTAACACATACGTGACGGAGCTTAGCTAATCGTAATTCATGTCTATACATGTACAATTCTTGACATATGTTTTGTATGTTTGTATTTCGGTTTCACAAGATATTCAGTAAATTGACAAAAAAGAATCTGCTTCTGTGGAGTTGCTGAGTACATGTTTAGCTAGTTGGATAACTGACTCTTAGTGAGGCCATGACACATAATATGTACCGTATTTGTTTGTTTTATCATACGGATTAAATCAAACGTTAAAAAATGCTCACCTGTAACATCTTTATTTGTAAATATCTCATACAACGTGGGAAACCTGCGGCTTAAAATCCGGTGCGGCTTATAAAAGTACAAAATTGATTTTCTATCTAAAATTAGAGCGTGCGGCTTGTAATCAGGTGCGCTTTATAGTCCGGAATTTACGGTAATTCAAATGTATTTACTGTCACAGAGCTGGGGCTTTAACACACTTTTTGTTTTCAGTGGATGAACCTGCTACACTCCTGCTCACCCTAATCTTGCACCATTACGTCCCTCTTCACTTATTCCAAGTTGTCTGCATTTTATTTCCATGTTTCAGTCAAATTTACTGTTTCAATGTGAAACAGACCATAACTCCTACTCAGCACTGACCTTACCAGCCCATCAAAGCCTTCTCAGGTTAATTTAGCAGTGCAAAGTCTGGGGAAAAAAAGATAAATAGTTCAATTTGGTAGTTTATATTTCAATGTTTTACACACACAGTACATAGAGAATTAAAAGGTAATTGTATGAATAACAAAACACCAAGACAGGACTTTTATTCATGTTATTTATCATCTGGTCACTCATCTCTAACGGATGCCAGAAAGAGTTCCCTCCTCTGATGCTCTGAGTTTAGATAAGTCTTTTCAGCATAGGAGTGGGTGGTATCCATAGCAACGAACGTTTTCCAGCCCAAAGCAAAAACATGTAGGTGTGAGAAGACAAAGTTACCTTTATCTCCTCACATTACGGCCGAAACCATTGATTATTTTAACCATCAATTAATCTGCCACCGTAATCCGTCGGCTGAAGACTTGAGCCGTTTTGCCTGGTCCCGTCTGGTAATTCTCACTAGTTTGAACTGGGCGTTATGAAGAGCTGCACTTTGCATTCTGCTGTAGAGAATTACAGTGATGGAGGCGTTTAAACATGGTGTCACACTGCAAAGTTAGTAAGAGGCTCAACTCGCTACACACTGCAGAGAACAAAACACTGTTTGTAACAACTCTGAAGATCATAAAGCTGCAACTATAAGAGGTCAGCAGCCACACGGTCTTCAGCCAAACAGCACAATTAGCATAAGGGGCTGAGGTCTGAAGCCTCTGAAAAGGCCCGGTACCTTCTGTTGAGAGGTTGGGATGGAAAGTGGACTACTGTTACTTTGTATGTCTTTTCCTTTGGTTTGACTTTAAAATCAGCCCAATTTTTACATGCAGTCATATTGTTTCCGACTAAATGCATCTGTTATTTAATTGTTTTCTGTCCTCTCTCCCTTCTTTTCACTTTTCTCCTTGCTGACTGATATGTCACTGCTATCAAACGAATAAGCTTCCTTCTTCCTCACATAACCGAAAAGTTTGTTTTTAATCACAATTTTGTCATAATCAGTTGAACTGAATAAATCCATAATTGATTAATTATGGATTAATCAGCATGAACTCAAACTTACCTTTTTTTTACTCATTTATGTTGATTTATATTAATGGAACTCACACTTTATTTATTGCAATTTTAGCATTAGTTGACAAGATAATGAAACAGTGATACCTTAAGGGAGCTCACCTGAATTCAAAATACTTTTTATTAAATTGAAAATATTCACTGAAAACATTTATTAGAATATGGTCTTTTAATGCAAATATTTACACAATAATGCCTTTCCCCACGTGATAGAAAACCAAACCACATAGCAGAATGGAGATGTCTATTTGTGGAACAGTCTTTTGCCCAACCCAAACCATGAAGACATGAGGCTGTTTATCTCCCTTACTGGATTTCTCACATTGTAGGAAACGTGCACACAGTGGAGCCCTTAGTCATGGCCGCCCTGTGCTGGGTTCAGTTCAGTTCCGTTTGGCTTGGCTTATTACACCCAAGCTGCATCAAACTGACCAAACATCTGACCTTTTGCACTCACGCAGCTCTGTTGATCCTCTGCCAAAAGAGGCATTTGTGCTCCTTGTACTCAGATGAAACACTGATTTGTCAAACCCTGCAATTTCCTGACCCTCAGCCGTCTTTTTCTCTCATCATGCTGAATTACAGGATACATTAGTGGAGCTCTGAGGAAGGAATCTAATCTGTCAGGGAACAAAAGTACAGAGGAACTCCCTGTCTATTGTCAGAAGAGCCATAAACAAATGAAAAGCAAATCAAATGAAAAAGAGAAATTCACAGCTGGTAGTTTACAATTTGAAGCCACATTTTGGGGGATTTTAGCATCTAATCTGTATGCTAAAAGCTGAAATAACAGTGTAGCTCAGTCATACTTTCTGACATGGTCGTGTTTCTGCTCCAAAGAGCAAGATGACGTCTGCTGTTGTGAAAATATGGCATTAAATTGTTGAAAAACATAAAAATCCTGATTAATATTCCCAAATCAGAGACAACCATGAGCACCAGTGACCATGACAATATGTCTGTCAGACATGGTTTAGCCTCTCTAGCCTCTCAAAATTAGCCCAGATGTTAATTAAACTCTCTTATTACGAGTAAAAAGTCCAACAGGTCTGCAGTAAACCGGCGTCTTCATTAACTGTAAAGGGACCCATTGGTCTGGGGCTCATTACTTTACATTTCCTCCCAGCAATTGAGCAGATCATTTTTACGATCATAAATGATGTGGAAGCCCCCCCTGGAACCCCCCCCCCCCCCACACACACACACCCTCCACCGCTCATCAGTAGCTAATAAATTAAGACGTACAGAAATGGATGAGCTGGAGCTCTGGCTCTGTCTGACTGTGACCTTTACTCAGAAGATCCCGGGAAAACACATGCTCTCTAACAAGAATGCCTTTTTCGGAGTTTCTATTTATCTCTTGGGCCTAAGCTCTGTTGTTTATGTAACCCTTAACTGCTCGAGCCAGCTCCTGTGTTACTGCCTCATTATGAGATAAAATACGATGAAAAGGCCGACTGTTCTGTCCCTCCAAAGCTCGTTCTACATCGGGACTCAGACGTGTGATTTAGGAGGCAAACTCAAAATTTAGACAAGTCGTCAGCAGCATTGTACATAAATAATTCAGCGTGCTGATGGTGCTTGCACTGTGAAATCCAAATTAAAAATAAACCCGAAGATAAATCCAACCCACTGGTTAGGCACGGTATCAAAAAGCCATCACAGTGGTTTCATTTCGTAGAGAGGTGATAATGATTTCAGACACTTTGGATTTAAGGATCGCCTTGCTTCTGGCACTGCCTGTCCAGTAATACTCCGGTTTTCAGCTATTTAAACCTTTTTTAACCTCTTTCTTTTTACTGTTTCTTGCAAAGACATTCTGTGTCTTTGTATATCTTATGGATACCTAAAACTCCAAAATAAAACCAAGAGCCAGTTTCCTCACACACTGTGTGCAGAGCCATTATTTCTTCTCCTCAAATGGAGATTTGACAGGAGGAAACCTAAGGGTTGCATGCCGGGGCTAAGCTAAGGGTAAACCAGAATGAACTTCACTGGGTGAACTGTCTCATGGCTCATAGGAACAGCACAGGGATCACACTAAAAGGGATATCTTCAAAAAACTAACAAACATAAAGGAGAGCCTGCTTAGGACACCCATACAAACTTAGTGTAACGCTGGTAAGAAAACCCAAAGAGACTAGTTTTAGTTGGTTTAGAAGGAGTGAGCAAAATGGACTGAATTACTAAGTTACTTGTGAAATATATTGTTAAAATTTGTACTGAGAAAGTCTGCATGAGGGCTCAAACTGTTTGATTGAAATCCTTTTGTTAATTTCTGAAATCCTTTTGTTAATTCACTGTTGTGCATTATGGGTACCTGAAAGACCTGTAATGAGAACCTGTTATGCTACGATAATGATCCAGTCTCACTCAGCCCCAAGCCATGTTACTGTAAGAGGTTCACAGGCTCTTATTGATCCTAGTCTGGGTTAGTCTGATACATCCTGTAAAAAAAAAAACATCAGGTGTCTTATCTCAAATGTGGAAATATAGAAATTGTCATATAAATATGTTTATATGAAAAAACTCAAACAAATAGCATAATAATCTATGCCTCAATAATTCAATAGTATGCAAAATAAATTAATTTTTGCTTATTTTGAATTGGAACCGTATTAGCATTTTATTTCGTATCACTGTTTTCATGTGTGAGTGTTATTGTGATATACAGTATTTTGCATTATTTAAATGTTTTTCATTCCAGTATATTTCTGCATAATTTGTTTGAGTGATTGATTTATTTTTACTGAATGGATCTGTCTTTGTTTTTGACAAACAAGTTCAACTTATTCTTTATAGGTAGATACACTATTAGTTTGCCCCCTGCTCATGTATGTGAGGCAACAGATAGCTTTACCAAAATATAATCTTCTTCACACATTTATAAAGCCTGAGATAAAGATTCAAGCACTTCGATGTGCAAATTTATTCTCCACAATGCTACCTGAAATTCATCCTGTGCTGATGCTCAATTGGCCAAACTGGTTAATACAAAGTTGCTCAACAGGTAGGTTTGACATTTCTTGTTCTCCCATTCTTCCTCTTAGCTCATTACAGATCATACTTTTGTGTGTGATGTTTAACACCAGCCTTTTGCCTCCAATCAGACCAACAGAATCTACAGTCCCTTCTATTCGATACCTGCAACCTGTTCATGGTAATGCCTCACCAACAGGGAAGCTATGTGGTGCTTCTTTGGAATGTTGATCTGGTGCTTCTCTTCCCAGTGCATGTTAACTAAAGATATGCTCTTCCATTTCTGATCACACCACCTGCATCCAATGTGGGATTTAGCTTACTTGGACGGCTGGAATTGAGAATAAGATCATCCCTGAAAATATTTTTTTTTAATTCTTCTGCAAACGCATCATGTTGGAGAATATACTTATACTTCATAGTTTTGTTTGTGTCAGTGCACCTGTCTTGCAGTTCAGACCTTTCATGCAGGAACTCACTTTCATAATGAGTTAGCTATAGCCTACTGAGCATCCTCCAACGGGAAAAGCGTTTGAAATCAATGTGACTCCACAAACTTTTGGAGCTATTGGTTGGTAAAGCTGTATTCTACAGTGTATCTGGCCAAGAAAGTGTGCCTTTGAGCCATTTGGTGTTTTCCAACACAGCTGCCAGCACTGTGCACAATTCATGGTCTGCAGGCTAAACAAGAACTCTTCTTTATTACTTGTGTACTTCCTAATGCGGGTAATTGTGTTGGCTACATTCACATAAAATCTTCTGCTTGTGTTGTGAATGAGGCCCAAAACAATCATACTTTTCGTGTAGACTTGTGGGTGTCCGGTTCGTCGCTGATTAAGTCTTCCATTTAAGTTGCCAAAGCAGCACCCCAAAGCCATTCTTGAACTGCTCATGATAAATTTAGTGACCCCCCTTCCACGTCTGTTGCTTTGAGGTAAGTCACTGACGATATGTGGACCCCACATCCCCGGTTTTCATCAGATGCAGGGTGGTTGCTACAAGCTTTTAACGTCCTCAGGTGTGCGACTTTTGGCACTGTTAGCACACAGGAGGTCTTCATAGGACTTCAGGACCCTGTGCTGATCACTCCTTGATCTTTTGCTGCTCATTCCTCACCTGGAGTGTCGAGATGGACAGGATGGGGGTGGTGGAGGTGGGTTGTGTGTTTAAAGGGATTGATAATGAGATGGAGCCTTTAGAAATAGAGGAAGTGGGGTGTCTACAGTAGGTGCTGAGAGGTGTGACGTTGGGGGATGGGCTAATCCTGGTTTACTGATTCAGAGGCTCTCTTATTTTAAGTAAGGCCTTTGTTTCAGGATCGATTGGTGGAGAAACACTGCACAGTCCTCATGGGTACAGTTTTCCCCTGGTTCTCTTTGTACTCTTTGTAAGAGGATTGTATACAGGATGGAGATGAACCAGGCTACACTCTGAAACCACCAGAGCATGGAGAGGTGATGAGCTGCAGGCATCCTTAATGTTGGCAATAGGTCTAGTATTGTACTAAGTCACCAAACAGTTCATTAGGCTGACTTGTAGTCATCCCCTTAGTGTATTCATACCAGGGGGTTAGCTTACATTGATCCTTTTCTGGGAAGGACAGATTGTAAAGTTTGCTGGTAGGCAGCAGAGCACCAGGAAGCAGATCAGTAGCACAGATCAGCGAGGTGGTAAGGATATACTTCTGTTTTTGCTGAAAACTTCAGCTGGGTCTTGATAAATGTCAGGTACTAGAAATAAGTGTGGTGGTTCCAGATGATTTCTTGGCTTGATGACTGAGGAGGGAGAGACTGCCGACCGTAAAAGAGACCAACAAAAGATAGGACAAAAAACAATCATTCGTTTCATTTTGTCATATTTCACGGTCATTAAAGTTGCCTTCAGCCCCAGAATCCACAAAAGCAGAGATAGAAACTGACATTGATGCCATGGTGTGGATGGAACAGTCTAGTTTAAAGGAGGGGAATCTGTAACACTGGTTCTATTACCCTAAATTTTACTGATGAGTCCTGTCTTTGGCATGAGGTTGAGCATCTGATATTGTGTCTTCATATGTTGTTTTTTCCACGATAAAAGTATGCTTCTCCTCATGGATACTGCAGGCTCTCCTTTATGAATGAGACAAATTAGACCAAACTGCCTGGGATACTGCTCCAATACTATTCTGATGCCAGCCAACTCTCCTGATTCATGGTCAGAGGGGTGGAGAAGGTGCATCGAAGTAATGAAGGAATGAAGGAAGAGATCATTCCATATGCATCCTTATAGTGAAATCTGATGGCAAGAGAAATTAGATCCTCAAGACCATGAGCATGGTCACAAGGTCAGTTAATGAGGTCAGACAATGCCTGGAGTGGTTCCTCAATCGAGCAAGAATACAAAAAGCTAGTTCTACCACACTCACCTGGTGGCGGTTTAGGAGTCCTTAAGTGACTTAATCTCCCCTCCACTTAAGTCACAAACATTCATGATTTGTGGTTTTGGTTGTGCAAAAACTTGGATAAGACTCCTGTGGCTGGGAATAGTCCTTCCAGTAGGCTACAACCTAATGTTAGAACGAGACAGTAGTAAAAGCAAGCTCAGGGTGACCATGGGCCTGGACAGCTGGCTAAAGTGTGTAACTGCTTTCTCAGAAGACTCACAGAAAACAGTAAGTTAAGCATTCAGTGGAACCTTCCTTTAACCAGACGGCTGTTATGTGGCCAGAGATTTACAGCACAGCTAAAGCAGCAATCTGGCAGCCAGGAAAAAGCAGACTGAAACTGATATGGCACAGGCAGATGATCAGCAGCAGGTGAGAAGAATCCTCCATCAGTACCATCACGCCCAGCAGAAATTCTGAAACCACACCGGAGGAAAAATGACAAAAACAGAAGCTGAAAAAAAATGAAATAACATGTGCTTTAAGACTGCACAGCATACTATATTAACACAGAGAGAAATGTATGCTAAATCACAAAACTCCTGCTTTACAGAACTAATTACACTCGCTGATGATCAGTTATTCAAGTGCTATTGATGATTGCTATCTAACTGCAATTCACCGTTTTCATTCCAATGGAAACAGTAGGTGTGGATATAGTAATATATGAAGACTTGTTCAAGTTGATTAAGGTTACAATATATTTATTCTATTATTCTGTTTAATGTGTACTCCATTAATGGTCTTCTGGGCTTATACTGGCCGTCAAACAGTGCAAGTTTCATTGACATTTACATTTACATTTATTCATTTAGCAGACACTTTTACCCACAACAACTTACAAAAAGATGGTTTAACATTCGAGTACAACACAGTTTCCACTCTTAACTTAACTTGAGTGCAATATGCTAGAAGAGGGTTTAACATTAAGGCTTAAGATTTAACTATGACATAGATAATGTTTCATTTGATGTAAACAAGCTCCTTGAAAGCTTTGAAAACAAACCAGACCAAAAAGGCGATTTGTTCTTTAAATATATTTCTGAACAATGGTACAAGAGCCACATGCATTCAAACTTAATCGTTGATGAGGTTTAATACGAAACTACCCGGAGTATTTATTTTATTTGCAATTTACTCAATGGGATCTTAAGTATGCGTTCTTGGTGCACATTATTTCAAATAGTGAAAATGTGAAATGGTCAAAGAAGAGATAACAAGGAGACACTCAAGGAGGCAAATTGCCAGTGTCTTTTACAATGACAGAGCCCTCGACTAAATCATTTTCTCTGCAAATGCACTTGTAATTGAGCTCCGCCACAACTTGTGATGGTGATGGGGGGACATGCTCATAAGAGAACTGTGTGTTTTACATGGGTTGGTAGAAATCCTTGTCCGGGTGATTGTTTTTCTTCTACATATTTTAAGTACAGGTTAAACTATGACACATAAAAAATCCCTAAATTCAGCATGAGCTGTTGTAATAGTTTTCATCATAGCCGACTATTAAATATGCATAAATATGCATGTGTTCACATTCACAAAAAAAAAGATGGATTCTTTTTTTTAAATTATTGTAAATTCAAGAAAAACTACAACTGGTGATATTGACATTTAGCTCACGGCTACTAGTTCCAAACCTGGCTGTTTTTTTGTTTTTTTGCTTATGGTAAATGTCTCAAGTAATAAACACAACTAATTGCAAAATAATTTTGTTTTGCTTTTCCTGAATAGATGCCCTTTAAGGTTGTGCTGCAGGCAGACTGGGCTGTTGATCATCCAAATGCACAAACATGAGATTATTTCAGCAACTATTCCCTCAGATTAATTATTCAGAGTCAACTCCAGCACAACCTTTTTCTGCACGTGCCTCGTGTGGAATCTTGCCGGACTGACCTATATTGAATTTCGGAGTTTTTCATCAGCAAAGCGGAGCTGATTTGAATGAGTCCCTCGTGTGACCTCATCCTTATGACTGCATCCTCACCCCATCATCATGAAGTAACCCAGATTTCCCCAAATGTCTAAGACTACAACATAGATTTTCTATTTGTCAGTCTTAAATACAGCTCCTTTTGACAGGCTGCCAGGCAAGTTCCCCCCTTCAGCTTGAAGCTTTCAATTTCATCAGAAATTAGTCTTTGCTTTACATACCGTTAACAAAGGGTCAATCACTCTCAACCAATACTTTTGGGAGCTGATGGTGGCGGGTGTATGGGGGGGCAATGGAGTGTGTGAGATCAGTGGTAAATCCATTGTAATCTCTTTTTAAGCAACAGAACTGCTCCACAGGGGCATCATAGGAACGAGAAGGTCCATTATGACTGGGACTTTCATTTAGGCAAAGAAGATTACATCTGAGGAATGCTCTTCTCTTAGAAGTTCTGAACAAAACTTCGACAATGCCTTCAACAATTCTAGTCACATCCACATCAAAGAGACTCCTCAAAGACCTTCAAAACTAGCTCGTCATCTGCCGTGGATTTATCTTTTACCAGAATTTAAAGTGTAGCGCTGTTGAATGGTGACGAGTGAACGTCCCGGGGAGAGAGCACTTTTGTCCTTTAGCAGTCCTGAGGTCTGCTGGACATGGCCAGCTGTATCCAAATGTTTCAGTGTAATCTCAAGATAACAGGTTATTCATTTCAATGATAATATAAATGATCTTCTTGTAGAATAATAGAAGCAAAAAAAACATGTTTTTTTTTTCAAACTTTCAGGGTAAGCATAATCAATTTTTTTTTTAAATGTGGCGGAACATCTGTATGGTTAATTCCAAAGAATACACATTATATGAGTAACAATGTCTGCAATATAAATGTGACCCTGGCTAAATAAGTCATTTGTTAAGTTGACTTAGTATAAATGTGTCCAGGAAATGGAATATTAGCTGAGCGTGCTTCTATTTCGGCATGTTTTCACCACAGAGCGTCCTGTAGTATGGAGACACACCGGCAATTCATCAGGCTCATCACTCCCCGGATTTACTGGCAGGTTGCCATGCTATACTAGCTGGTTGCCAATCATTCCTAGCCTAAGTATTAACCCATGTGGTATCTTCCAGAGAACCCGCTCCTCGTACCTTGTTACCGGCAACTTACCTGTGTCATATCCGGGGTCCCCCATTAGCTCCTGGATCATCTGGGCTCGACTGGTAACGGCTCCTTCAACTCCCTGGCATTCAGTTACATCATTTTGCACAACCCACTCCCTCCAGCTGTTCAGCGGCAGCTGCCATCTGGAGCTCCAGCCCTTTGGCAGTAACCTCACACCTTCAGTCATCTTCTAATGACCTTAGAGTCCAGTCACCTCTCCCTGGTGGATCCACTCCTCACCACCCGGTCCCTGGATTACCACGCTCACATACCAGCCCAGAGCAAGCTCAGCTAAAGCTGGGCATACACTGTGCCATTCATGCCATTTTTTGAGACAATTTATCACTTGTGCAAGAATTTC